GTTAGTGAACTTGTTAGAACCCACTGCTCTGCAGTGGGCTCTCACAGTGAATAGTCTAATGGGGGTACACACCCATCCAAAAGACTATTGCTTCGCTGAATCCTCTATTTCACGCCATTCATTAAGGATTTAGAGAGAGAGCACTGCGAAGATTTATTTAGTCTCAATGGAGAAAACGTAGTTAGAGGAAACTCGAAACCACATTGGGTAGTTTGCAGAGGAGGTCATCGCATGTGGCTTTCGGAAGGTTCAGATGCTGACAGACGTTATCATCCTTGTTACAGCCCGCCTGATCTGGGTCCTTGTCTCCCACTTCGTACAGAGGTGCGTAGTCAGGAACCTGAAAGAGAATATTAGGCTGCGTTTATACTTTGCGGCAGCGTAGCGTAGCGTAGCGCAGCGTAGCGTAGCGCTTCCAGCGTACGCCAGCGGCAGTGCCGAAGAGAGGATGCATATCGATCTAGCTTCACCAGCGTCACCAGCGGCACGCTGGCGTACGCTAGCGTGCGCTAGCGGCACGCTAGCGTACGCCAGCGGCACGCTAGCGCACGCTGGCGTAGCGAGGGCACGGGAAGCATAGCTATCGATCTAGCTTCACCAGCGTTTCTCGAGCGTTTCTCCAGCGGCACCAGCGTTTTGCTAGCGCTTGCAGCGGCAGGGAGTAGAGACTATGTGGCCGTCGGAGACGCAGAAGCGATGTGCATTGTAGAGACTATGTGGCCGTCGGAGACGCAGAAGCGATGTGCATTGTAGAGACTATGTGGCCGTCGGAGACGCAGAAGCGATGTGCATTGTAGAGACTATGTGGCCGTCGGAGACGCAGAAGCGATGTGCATTGTAGAGACTAAGGAGTGAGAGACGCGCAATCGATGTGTTTTGTACCCTCCAGCTCTCCCATAGTCTCTACTCCCCTGCCGCTGCAAACGCTAGCAAAACGCTGGTGAAACGCTGGAGAAACGCTGGTGACGCTGGTGAAGCTAGATCGATATGCATCCTCTCTTCGGCACTGCCGCTGGCGTACGCTGGAAGCGCTACGCTACGCTGCGCTACGCTACGCGCTGCCGCAAAGTATAAACGCAGCCTAATAGGACATGCCCCTCAGAAACTACGCACATGTACTCTGTGTCTTACTTTTTATTGTAGATACAAATAAGCGAAGCTCTGATGTCATTTCCGTTGGGGCACTCTTCATAATTGCAGCCGACTTCGTAAATCTTATCATAGGCCATCTAAATGTCGGCTTTTTCAGTTCATGAAGACGAAAGCAACTGGACCGAATAAGTAACTTACATTGGCGAAAGTGTACAGATTGCTGCTGCCATACAAGCTCACATTGTACTTGACACCATCTATGGGATAACTCTCCGTTGGCAGGAGCCATTCGTCGATTGATTTGCTTATGAAGTCGTACTTTCGCTCTCTCTTCTTGATTGGCCTGGGGTCATCTACTTCTGGTACAGTGCCGCTGGAAACGAATACATTGCCTTGTGGGGTTGGTATGATGGACGGCTGTAGAGAAAATCAAATTAATTCACTTACTGGTTTTCATTCTTGCCGTGATTCGGCAGTTGGTCGACGGTATGAGCACAGCCTTGTGGTCAATTTCCTCGCCTCTGCTTCAAGATCGCAGTTCCATCTCTACAAGTTAGGAGAGTAATGAAGTACCCTGAGTAATAGCTTAGACTGACAATTCTCTCGTGATTTTTACATCTAGGTATTGCTGCTCAAGTGAGGTGGATCAGACCTAATACCGTCTATGCTGGAATCAGTGATGCTGCACAGGGAGCTTTTCTCCCAAAATATGGTCTTGCAATTTGACTAATGATGTGTTCATACTGTTCTTATAGGGCTGCTCAGCGTCTATGTCAAAGATCTACTCTAGAAGAACAAATTGAGAGTAAGGTACCGTACTTTGGTGGTCTGAACGGTGGTAGAGTTGGCGAATAGTGAGAGAGTGAAGGGGAAAAACGGAGGGCAACCGTCAAGAACCAGCGGAAAATTACATTTTTCTCACGATAAGGGAAGCGCAGACGGTCAGTAGAGAGCTCGTCTGGATGAGTTTACCTCTGGCAGTATGCAACCGCTCCGGTATATAAGGCAGTGCGCATGAGCTGCACTCACGTCAAATGCCTAAGGGTGCCATAAGACGTGAGGAATTCATAATCGCCTGTCGGCTCTCTGCAAAGCACTTCTCTCCGTAGACGAAGTTAGTTCTTACGCCTTATGCTTTCATGCAATCTTGTGAGGTCGCGGCGCACCTGTGGCCTACTGTAACGTTGACGGTAAGCTCTTGCGCTCTGTAGTGGATTAAACAGTTCCTCCTTAACGCAGGGCACAAGCACTTTTTCCCCTCAACTCAGTACTTTTCCTTTTCCTCTCACGTTACGATTCCTGAAGGGTGTGTTTCACCATCGACTTCTTATCGAAACTGTGTATTCAAGCAAAGCACTTCTGCGGTAAACCTCGAACTTACCAGTTTGAATAAATTTTTTGCGGGTGGAAGGAAGCCAGTTTGAAACCTGGCGACTCTCCCTAGAGCAAGTACATTTCGAGTTCCTTCGTGGTAATATAGGATCTTATAGCGAGTGTTGTCGTCCATGAGTGGGCCGCGGTTATCGCCACAGGACTCTGTAAGAATCGAAGGTTGTATTGCATAATAATCGTATCAAGAGGTGTCTTCACTGGGATTGTTTGCTTCAGTGTGTTCTTTGAAACACTGAGGGTTACTACAGTAAAAGCACAGGCCTTGAAATTGAGCAAGAACACAAGCGGAGAAATAGTCAAAAGTGTATAAATCATTTGGTCGCATTGCCGCTTTTATACGGAGACTTTCTCCTCCATAATACCCCGCCCGATGTTTCCTTCGATGAGCCCTTCGAGCCAAGGAATCTTTCCCTCACTAACAAGCAAACACTTTCGGTGAAATGCCAATCTATAAAGATTATTGTTGTAGCTGTCGCACCTCAGCCCACATTATCCTTAGTCGTACAGTCAAGATTCCTGCAGATCTAGGGAATGTGAAGAGGCTCGGATTGAAGCGTGGCCACCAATCTTCCTCCCCAACTGTTGCAGGGTCAGGATGGCATTACTGTTGCTATGCAAGTCTCCTCTACTATGCTCCATTCCACGCCCTTCCACTTTGAAGGACCGCTACACTCGTCTTCGGGAAGATCTCATCGTCTGCTTCATCGACAAACATGATGAGCGGTCTGAGGAACATCTTCGTAAGTGTGCCAAGTGGCCTGAAAGGAAAGTGACCGGGGAGGGGGGGGGATGCTCAATTAGTGGACTTCGGAGTTATCCCTTTTGAAGGTGCTCGAAAGTGAACGTTGACACTAACGCTAGGAGTTATAGGAGATTAGTGCTCATATAACGGTTCTTAGGAGGTAATACGTATCATACCGTCGCCCTTTTCAAGCATAGTGCGGCTCCTGCATCGAATGCACTTCCCGCGGTCAACTAAAATGTGAAGTTCCTGCGCATCGTTGGTAGCCAGGTCCGCAGTCGGAAGCAGCGTATCACTTTTGTCTCAGAAAAAGCGAGATGGCGTTTGTCAATCTTGCCTGCCGCACATCCATGCTGCTTCTATGGTCTGCACAACAGCAGAATACGTCAATAATTACCGTGCATGTTGCCTGCAGCGTCGTAAGACTACTTTAAAGGCAGTTGGCACGATGGTTTCCTACTTAGCCTAAAATGCTAGTAGGGCGCTGTATAGTGGGGAAATGGCGAAAGAACGGAGTGAAACGGTCAAAATCCGGCGAAGAAAAAGCCTCCGTTCTCAGTGACTTGTAAATCGATTTCGGACGAGTTTCCCGTACGCATCTTGCCAATCACCGCTACCGAAGATACGGCTGCATATGTGTACCCATGTATGCATGCAGCATCACGGCCGCTTCATACCAATCCCTTTGCTTCATAATTTGCTCAGCAAATGAATGAATACGAGCGTCAGAAACGGTCGTCCGTTTGTGGGCGGGCGGGCAAGGAAGGCGTTTGGGACGTAAAGTTGTTGCTCAATAGGGCGTTATAGAGGTACCCTCCTTGGAAAAGGCTTCACGCAGCGCCTGTCCGAGGTCACGGAATTCTGTTAAGCCAGTTGTACAAATCCTACACCTGTATACAACTTCTTTAAGCGCTCGTTCCGGGAATGGATGACGTTACTTACTTCGCGCAGAACTGCATTCTGACTTCCCCTATACTACCTTTTTGGAAGCAACAACTCGAGTAGAAAAGGCTCGTGTGGTTTGGCGTAGCGCTAAATCGCGCCGTGAGTGCAGATGCTCATGTAGCCGCAATAAGCTCGTGCGGTTTACTGTAAACCGAGAAGGTTGGAGCCAAGGACATCAGATGAAATGTCTTCCTTCGAAGGGATACCATACCAGATGGACCCTGGTCGACTGCACCTATGATGACAGCACTCCGCGCATCACACGCTTCAGTCAGTCCCATGAAAAGCGTGACTCGCACGCTCAAGTTGCGAACTATAAAAACGGCACGGCATTATAGGAGATCAAGTGGGAAAGTCGCATGTTGTCGCTGGGGAGAAGGGTTTGAGTTGTGTTTAACGTTGAATAAAATTTCTTCAAGCAGGGGTTTCTTCACCCATATCGCTTTTTCTCGGTGGATTGAACGTTGTCTGTCGATTCAGAACTCTCAATGGTGTTGGCCTTCCGACTTTTCCTAACTGGATAGAGCTGGCAGGTCAGGCTAGATTTACAAGCCGTTAGATGGTCGAAAGGTGACAGTTGTACCCTCTTTAAACGAAAATAGCGTCAACTTGTGTCATTTTTTCATCGGTATCTCCTTCAATAAGAGAAACGTAAGACGTACGTGTATCTGGAGTCTCAAAGTATCCAACACATAAGCCGAAAAGGCTCAGCAAGAAGATGCAAAGCTGGAAAATTCGTCGGATGATATAAAGCGAACCGAAGCAGTCCAGTCCACACTTACCGTAAGCATTGCCGGGAACTCCGAAAGCGTGTCCTGGTCGAAGATGAGGTGCCTCATAGAGTTTGGCTGGGCTTTTATACATGCATTGGATACCAGGATCTGTTTGCGTAATTATCTCCATATTTATCATTGGATTAATTATTTGATCATCATGAACGAAAAATCGATTGCGCGTCAGGCATGATGATTTGCCTAATTTGAGGAGCGAAAGAACACTGGTACGAGTAAACCAAATGCTTTGTTGGAAAATGGTTTCCATGTCTTGTGAGAAGTAGTTCACCCAACTCGAAGTCCCTCTTGCACGTTCTCCTTCTTTCCTTGTTTGTCTTGCTTTGCTTATTTCAGGACGCTATGATCTCATGAAAACAAATCTGTTGTTCCTTATGTCGTTCCCTAATTTCGATGTGAGATATTCGTGAGGCGGAGATGATGTAGTGACCACCACCCGCTCGGTCCTGGGTTTGAATCCCGGGTTGACTCCCGCCCAAGCCTTCTACCCTTCGAGGACGGTAATTGGTTCCAGACTGGGAGGATAAAAACACTGACTTGTACATCGGCTGGCCCCCGCAAGTCATTGTATAGGCCACATCGCATTCAATAAGCCACTACGATTCTGAATGGAAGTAGAATGCGTGCCGCATCCCACAAAGGGATTGATCAACGGCGAAGACTTTATCCTTTATCCTTCAAGATCTTCGTATCAGGCGATCACAGATCAGAAGAGCGTATTCTAGACATTACGTATTATAGGCGAATTTCAGAAGTGATCGACTGGCGAACTGACGACTACTTCCACGTGAATGGTATACAACTGAAACTCAGTTCGACTTTCTGTTTCTTTGTGCTCACATGCCTAAACAGTATTTTTTTGACTACAGTGTGCCAGTACATATTCGAAATTTCGCGTATGATAAGATAGTCATCCATTTCGGAGTTTTCTTCCTGGAAAAGCTCATGACCTGGCTCGCGGCATGTTTTTGGCACCCTTTCACGCCTTATCCACGATCCTCTATTTCTCTGCGCTCTGTCTTTCAAATCAGGACCACCAGAAAAATTTTATTTGTCACGTAGCCCCCGCGAATATTTGAATACCGTAATGAACGAGCCTTTGGAAAACATTTTCATGAACGAGCTATGGAATGAAGACCGAATGGTTATGTATTCAGCTGATTCCAAAGTAACAGAGGAACCATTCGCTAACCAGCTGGAGGAACCGTTGCTTTTTTTCTTTCCGCTGCTTTACTTTTCTTTGTATTAGCGATCACACCACATACTGCTTTTATTTTCCTAAACGAGTCATGTTTGGTATTTGCATTTCCATTGCCTCGCCCTTTATTTTTCGACTATCACTATCCATTTTCATCCTCTAAAACATCCATATTGTGTCATCAATACGTCAGTAATCGAGTTTTGTTGACTTCCTGAATGATGGAGTATTTACTAGATTACTTGCCGAGAGTGTACCGTCAGTAGAGGCCAATTCTTGACAAAAGGCCAGATTCCAGATACATGAACGAAGAGACAAGGAATCGTATCCGTGTTTTGAGGGTTAGCCCTCACCACGATTATTACCAAGAGATGCAAGTACATAGTGCAGCTACCCGCTCAGCACTTAGACTACTAAAAAATAGAGCTATGAGGACAAACAACTAGATAAAACTTGATATAACAACAAAAAAAATGAAGAGAATAGGTTCAGGATTTCTGATCAGCCTCCAAGAAAACTATAATCAGGGATGGAGAAAGTGAAGCAGAGCGTCTTCAAACGTAGAACTTGTGCAAGAGATGCTTAAGTCGGGCAATATTGGTTGGGCATAGGGAACTTTTAGTAAGCTTAGCAAACTTCCCAGATGCTTGCATTGAAAAAAAAATTAGATCTCACGCCTTGGGCAGACATAGTTTGGACTTAAACCTCTGGTGTGAGAGGGAGAAGAGTGAAAAGATCACGCCTATCAATCGAAACTTTGCCTGTAAGGACTTTGAACACAAATCTAATTTTTTTCGACGGCATAGAAGAGAGTCAAGACCAAGCATCTTGTTCCTGATGACACCTCTTGGTATAGCCTTCATAATTAGAACCCCTAAAGCGCGAATCAAAACCTTTCCTAGTGAAACTATTCAGAATAGCCTCAAGCCAAATGGATTTTTCGAATGAGGGCAAAAGATCATGGATCCATATTCCAGAATAGCATATGTCTTATAAGCTGTGATAAGAACACAGGTATCCTTAGTATACAAGCATCTAAAGAGTTGAAAAAGCTTAAATTCAGCTTTCTTCGCAATGGTTGAGCAATGAGATTCAAAGTTTAACTTACTGTCAATTAATGAAACCCAAATCTCTGACTTGGTTAACGTTATGCAAAGCAGAGCTTCCTAAGAAGTAGTTTTGTGTGATATAGACCTCCCTAAAAAAAGAACTGAAGTTTTATCAAAGGCCAAGAGCAGTCCCCATGAGTCAGACCACATAACGACTGCATCAATAGCTACCTGGATTCTAATAGTATCGTATAGTGATAGTACACCTCTGGAAGCCGATCTGACATTGGAAAAATATAGAAGAAAGGAACCAATCCACGGAACTGTTCTATGA